CTAAAGCGTCACAAAATCAATGTCAGTGATTAATAGTATTATCGCTACTAGTCTCTGGTTACTGTTGCTTGTAAGTAGTAATTAGAAATAGCAATCTCACTCACAACGCAGAGCACTTTTTGTCATTTCGTAGACTACAAGTAACAAAAGTGATGCTATGCATCTGACCAACGAGTGGCTGTAAAGAAGAACACTTTTTAATCAGTAGGCGGTTCTTGATGAATCATGGTTTATTGGTCAAGCAACTGGAGCTGCATAAGAAAAGTAAAACTACGTCATCAAAAACTTTTTTCGGTGAGCACATATTAAAAAATGCGCCTCAACTGCTTAGTCACTTCATCTTAAGCCATATCTTATTAAAGCTGATTCATAAAACTACAAAGAATCTTAAAACAATGAGTTGAGAGTGGCGCGTAAGGAAACCAGAAAAGTATGTAGCCAGCTGTAATGTATATGTTACGAAATCAACCTAAAAATTACCTATAATTTTAAATACTTAGACTTTCACAGAAGCCAAGCAGAGTTTCACAGTTTTTCTCTAACTTATTCCGTTTGCCCGTGAGATGCCTTTCCCCCAAAATTTTTATTATTCTCGAACGCACTTCCTTGTCGTAAACTTGGCCAAAAGTCAAACAGCTAACAAGTCTTATAACTCAATTTCGGATTTCATCTCAACCAAAAATAAAAATAAATCATCTTCGTTGTCAACAATGTCTAGCTGGCACCAATCACTACCTGGGTTAAAAATTTGCAAAAAGAATCAGGTCTTAGGAACTTTTAGCCAAAACTGGCACCAATTTAGTAACACTCTCACAATCAAAATGAACTACTTTAACTGGAAGTAGAAATCAATAAAACCTTAATTCCAGCAACTGGGCTGCCATCTGGTAAGGTGCTAGTTACAGCTGTCCTTGCAAATTCCTTGATCTAAAATCCAATAAATTTAGTCGTTAATTTTTCTAAAGAAGGTAGTCTTACTAACATATATTAAAAATGAAAGAGTGGACACAAGTATTAACCTTGCCACGCACGACATTTATTCCTCTCTCATCAGAGGCATTTAGTTCAAGCACTCGTTCTTGATAAGCATTCGGGTCCTTAAATAGCTGCCGACACACAGCAACAGCAGCAGATGTTTTTCCAGTTCCCGGCGGGCCATAGAATAAATAGTTTGGCAACTATAATACCTTCCTGTCAACTAACAGTTACTGTTAATTAGTAAAGGCAAGTAGAACTTGCTTAACATCTCAGCTTAAAAAGCATAACGAGATGACTAACGTCACTTCCTTGGACGGCTTTTTTTAAAACGGCAACCACCTCTTCTTGAAAAACCACGTCGTCAACTTTCTGCGGCCGACTGTAAAACAGAATGAGCAGAACAAACTCTTACAAATGAAATAGGGGAGTCTAATTTGCAAAACAACGATTTATAGAAGCAAACAAAAACCAACTATTTTTCCACCCACGGAATAAAGGGGTTTTGATGAGAATCTGATTTGGCCTTCAGCTTCGCACTGCCAGAACCTGGCCGGGCAAGAAATTTGTCCATCTGGAAAAAAAACAGTTGAATGTAAGTCAGAAAAATTGCATCCACCGAATAAACCCGCAGGACCGTAACGGCGAAGGACCGGATACGGACCCTTACGAAAGGGATTTTAAAAAAGGGCACAATTCCCGCCTTGGCTTTGCGCCTTTACAAAACTGTATCTGCCTTTTCCCTTAAAGTGGTGGAATCAGTAAAGTGCAATTTAGCCATAAATCATCTCCTTGATGGTCACGTAACTAAACCAGTATGGACTTTGCCTTTATAGAATAACCACCTTTACCTAGACTTTTTACTTGGGGTATACGGGATTCCCATTGCAGCGCTACAGTCCTAATGAAAATTTCTTCAACGAACGGGTCTGGTAGGGTTAAAAAAAATGTGTATACTTCCATGGGTCCATTGCTTCCACTAACACTAAGACTTTCTGTTCCGACTTACGTCAGTGACAGTGATAAGACGAAATAACTGCTTTTAATGGACCGCATAAAAAGTAGTTGTAGAGGCATACCCGGATGTAGTTAAAGAGCCTGAAGCTTAACTGGGGTTATCTCTTGATTGACCTTAGCAAAGGAAAGCTTTGTTTACGGTTTCAGCCTCAAAATTAGCAGTTGTTTTTTACGAAGATCCTGACATTGAGGGGCCTAAGTATTAAGTAGTCATGCAATGGCTTTATTTGATTTCATTACTGGTACCCAATTAAATAACAACTACGAAGAGCGCAACATTGCTCATTTTTTGAAATATTCCAGTCGCGAACTTAAGTTTATATCAAGTAAACAAGGACCAAAAGAGTTTCTCTAAACTGCCAAGCAAAAGATTAAACCAAAACAGGATATTGAGTTACAGCGATTGAAGTCTTTCAGATCATAAATAAAATCGCCACGGGTCTCAAAAAAAACGGACTTTTCTATCTCGTATTAGAACTGGGAAAATTGACCATTGCAATATTGATCGTTTACTTTTTTCAGGACCATTGTGCATTCACAGAAGGCAGCCCAACTATCCCAGTAATACAATAGATTTTTGCAAAACTGCATTTTTCATGCTAACGTTTGCTCTTTCATTTAAAAAAAAAACCTTTTGGAGTTTTATTTCACATAGATCTATACAACTGCAGCTATTTTTTGAAGCATGCTGGTCCGCTTATTACAAAAATAATGGTACAAAAAATGACACTCAACACTTCGTATAAAATTTATTAACAAAAATTAACGAGAGCCAAAAAAACTCCCGAAGCTTTAAATGCGAGAAAACTTTCCATGAACATTGCAGTCATTGCAAGTATCCGAAGTCCCAGAGAATCGTCATAACCTAATGCGACCTAGATTGCAAGTGGATGTAGAACTTTAAAAGCACAACCAGTTAACCTAACCGTCCTCCCCAGGAAACCCGTTATTAAAACCCCAGATTGGTTTAGTGACTCACGAGCAAGTACAGAAGATTGCTCCCCCTCCACCCAAGAATGATCAAGAATCCTTCTTCCCACAAAGTTTTTGACGCCTTCCGATACAATAGGTACGCACCACGGCATAATCGTAAACCCCATCTTCGCCTACTGTTGAAATTCAGATAGTATCTAACAGTCAACTTCAAATCGCATTTTATTACAAAAATCTGCTATCTCATCAGAACACGGCCAATAAACGGTAAAAAAAAGAAACAGGTAAAAACAACTTGACAAAATTTCAACAACCACTGCTCAAAGCAGTATATTCATGAGAAACGACGATTTCAGAAAAGACAACTGGAAAAACATAAATAAGTAAATAAAAGTTAAAATCAACAACCACGTTCCATAAATGCAATTCATAGCTTCCCGCTGACATGAAAATAACGGAGTCTAAGACAAAATTATCATGTGGAACGCAACGACCCTGTATAAAAAACAACAAACATCGAAATATACAGCAAAGTAATAGAAGGAGAAAGACCATACTTTCTCAAAAGAAAAAAATCAGTGTGCAAAAAAAAAAAGCAAGAAATTTCAGTAGTTACAAAAATACTGGCCAGAAGCCGACAATTTTTTTCGGCTGCTAAAATTACCTTAAAATAAAAATTCCCCCGGTTTCCCATCAATACATCAAAAAATGAGCTTAGTTAGTTGAGCATTTCACGCTAGACTAATAAGCTTATATGATATAGACAAATGGGTTTTAACTGCTCAAACAGAAAAATAAAATTGAAATGCTATAGAAAAAAGCCAATCATCTATGAAACCAGGGAAGCAAGTAGAATGATTTCTGCAGTTTCAACCAAAAGGAAAGAGCAGAACAGTAGCACAGCATAAATTTTCTGGAAACATAAAGAAATAGAACCGTACTAGAACGTCGCTTATAATTGAAGGATCGCCTCCCGATAATATCACAAAAACAATGAAAGCACTATCTCTGGTGGTTAAAAAGAAGCCTCTTTGCAAAAACTGCTGATCATTCATACATCCCAATAAGGTACATTAGATAGATACCAAACATCATCGCAAATGACTCTTTTATGCTTTGCCATAAGGAAGTATTCTCCAAAAGCTCCGGAATTACAGACACAAGTGCAATATATATAAATCCACCAGCAGTGAACGATAATACCTGCAACCATGCGATAAAAATCGATAATTTTTTATCCATCTTATGGTTCCACTAAGTATGTATCCTCTGGTTTAGATGAAAAAAGTAAAAATTTTATGTTTCAACAATCATGATAAATTAAGACCTTTGAGCCTTTAAGCCTTCATTAAGCCTTTTAAGCCTTTCAAATTAGAAAAAAAAAGGTTATTGTTGGTTTTATACGCTCGCTTTCTAGTACTCTGCCAAACGACGTTTAGTTCTACAACAAGAAAAATCAACTGCTATAAAAAAAAACTATTCAGCAACTTCTTACAGCCTTTTGGCAGTAGATGGCTTCAAAAAACAAATAGAACCTGTGAGCTGATGAACACGATAAAACTTCAAAAGCGTTTACAACTTCATTTTCACCCAAGAATATTTTTCTGTTTTGTAACAGTTTCAGAAAAAAACAGATTGTTAACTCCACATATTATACGTCCAAAGAACTACGCAAGTGTTGCTAACTTGTAGATATCTAGCTCTCTGTTTTTTTTTTTTTTTTTTT